TCTCTGGTGAATCCTCTCACCCCACCCCCCACCTCTGGCCTACACCCCAGTTCTTGATGCATAAATAAATAAAATAAACCTTAAAAAAAAAAAAAAAGGATCAGGCCATTTCTCTGACAGTTGAGCTTAGGCATCTCCACTCTGCCAGGTCTTGAGTAAGACCTGACCACCAGGACTGAGAGGAGGCAGTGTTCCATCGGAGGCACAGAAGGCTTAAAGAGAGCAAAGTTGTGAGTTACAGTAAAACTTCTCTGGATGTGGTCTACGTACGGTTTGATTCTACATTCTTGTTCTATGTCAGGTGTGGTGCTCAAAAGTGAAGTCTGTTTCACTTTGCTTTTGTTTAAATGTATTTCAGGAAATTAAAATATAGTTTATTTGGAGGGAAGCTAAAGATGAGTATAACAGGAAGGAAAAAAGACATCTGCTAACAGCTACCATGTTTAAGTGGAAGAAAATACCCACAAAGATAAGCACAAATACAACTTTTAAAAATCTCATCTCCTTTAGGGCCTCCCCGGTGGCGCAGCAGTTGAGCGCTGGGTTGCGAAGCTGCCCGCAGCCTCTGCAGTGCGGGTTCGATCCCTGGCTACTCCCCGGCCACCAGAGGAGGGTCCCACATGGCGTGCAGGCCTCTCCTGCCGCCCGCTGCTCCCCCCAGCAGTGTACCTCGGTCCTTCTGCCTGCTCTGCTCCCCGCTCTGGCTCTGGTGAATTCTCTCACCCTCCCGCGCTTCTGACTGTACCTAGTGCTTGTATAAATAATAAATAAATAAATCTTTTTTTAAAAAAAAAAGGCTGCAAGCTAGCTTCTTTTGCACAATGTGAAGAGTACATAGCTTCACACAACCAACATTATCAGCTGGGAGTAAAAGACAAAAGTTCTGGAGTCTGAAAATTGAACTTCCTCTGCATAGTCACCCCTTGTACCAGATCTCAGGCAAGTTTGTGGTGACCAGGAAATTTTTCTGGTAGCAAAACGTGTAGTCTGCATGTTCCCTGTTGCATTAACCAAGGTCTAGTGTACTGAGGATAGAATTTATGAGCACCAGGCAAAACTGACAGGTTTTCTAGTGTGATTTTTTTTTAAACATTTATTTATTTATTTATACAAGCACTGGGCACAGTCAGAAGCGCGGGAGGGTGAGAGAACTCACCAGAGTCAGAGCCGGGAGCAGAGCAGGCAGAAGGACCGAAGTACACTGCTGAGGGGAGCAGCGGGCGGCAGGAGAGGTCTGCGCACCATGTGGGACCCTCAGCCGGGGATCAAACCGGTACTGCAGAGGCTGTGGGCAGCTTCGCAACCCAGTGCTCAACCGCTTGTGCCACCGGGGAGGCCCAATCTAGTGTGATTTTTTTAAAGATTTATTTATGCATACAAGAACTGGGGTACAGGCCAGAGGTGTGGAGGGATGAGAGGTTTCACCAGAGACAGAGTGGGGAAAAGAACAGGCAGATTGACAGAAATACACTGCTGAGGGGAGCAGAGGGCAAATCAGGAGAGGTCTGCTGGGTATCTCCCTGGCCAGGGATCGAACTCGTGCTGCAGTGGCTGTGGACAACCTCATAGGTTGTATCTCAACCCCTTGCACCACCAGGCAGGCCCTCTAGTGTGATTTTTAAGGCAAATCACTCAAGGGTCATCTTCCTTATCATAAACACTGATTCTTCCTAAGGGTTCACTTCTGCTTCCTCTTCATGTCGCTTCTCTGTTCCTCCTGCACCCCGTCCAGTCTTCTCCATGAAAACAGTTGCAGGCTTAGGCCTCCCTTCCGCAATGTAAACTCTAAAGGCAATGTCCACCAATTGAAAAGAACTCATCCCTGTGGCATCTTCTAGTTTGGTCAATTTCCTTATATCTGGAGTACTCTGCCCAATGAATAGTATGTTAATCGTCTGAGCATTTCCTGGAGCATTTGGATTCATTCCTGTGCAACTCTAAGTTTGAATAATCCCTTCAAGAAGCAAACAGATCTTCATGTCCTTTTTGTGAAACTCTAGTATCTTACTAAAGTTCTTTTGCTTAGGTATTCCCTTCCTTAGCCCTATTCACAAGAACCTCTTAGAGTGTTCTAGCCTATCCACTCACCCCCTCATTGCGACCCCATTTAGGATTTACCATTGGGACAGCCTCTTCTGGTTCTGGGCTTTCTGGGTCCCCTTAGTGAAAGCAATGAGCCTCTTCATTATCCTTCCCTGACCGTTCTCTACTCATCCAATATTAATAGTACATGTAACATGGACTGTTTACCCACCGGGTTAGGCCAATGGAGGTAAAAATAGAAGCAAACAAATCAGCCATCCTTTGAGGATCTTGCCAGGATGAAGGAACAGAATTTCTCCAATTCGGGAGGTCCCCAGTGGAAAAGGGGGTTTGTATCTGGCAATCCACCCCTCCGGGATTGGTAAGGAGAGAACTGTTGGTGAAGAGAACTGTCCCCAGAGCAGCTCCTTTGACCAAATTGGGTGCCCACCTGGTATGAGAAGCAGCCATGCTAATGCCATGGGGGTGGGATGGCGACTGGTCTGCAGAGTCTCTGCAGCCTCCCCAGAAGGTTCTTTGGCTTTTTAAAAGGGATTCTCCACTGGTGGGGTCAAAGTTTCTGGTAAGCGATGGTCCTCCTCCTCCTGCTCTTGCCCTGGACAGCTATCAGGAACCATACCCTTCCTGGATATGGACTTACAACTGATCAAATCTAGCTCACCAGTCAGCTACAGTTTGCCCAAGAGAACTCTGTTTGCCTCCTCTCAAATCAAAAACAACATTGCAGAAAGCACTTAAACACACACCCAGGAAGATCTCCAGAAGCACAAGTCCTAAGCTAGAGGCCGAAAACCAGTCTCCCAGCTTTCTACACACCAGATCACCCAGACCAAAACTGAAAGAACCGCCTATACTGATGGTTGAACTCATGTCTAAATAAAGAGAGAATTCCACTGAAATAAAACCAATCTCCTTTAGAGACAGAAAAATCCTGCCACAGGTCCAGCAGTTGCAAGGTACTTAGGGTGGCCAATGCCAGGAAGCAACCCTTATAGGCAATAAGCTGCACAGGGGCGTGGGGGGAACAACAGGTTGGCCCAGTTGGTGGGTCCCCACCTGCATGCTTAAGAAAGAGCAAGGGCACAACTCAAAAGCAGACACACCTCAAGAAACAATAACAGGATTTATTCACATAAGGAGTGAAAGGGAGGGAGGGCTTATAAATTGGCCCAGATGCTGACTCTCTACCTAGCTAGCATCTGCTGAGTAGATACCAAAGCCCAAGCCAAAGCTGCATGAGGCACGCTTGCAGCTCCCCCCACCCCACCCCACCCCACCTCACCCTGCTTTAATGAGGTTTAACGGCCAAAGCCCCAGCAACAGCTTAATTGCTAAAAGCCTCAGCTCCTCCCCTATTTCCCATCTGCCAAGATTCAGGGGTGGGAGCCTGAAAGCCCCACCTCCTTATCACGGAGTTGAGGTCAGGGGTGGGGTCTGGAAAACTCCATCCTCTGTCACCCACTGACAGCCTGGCTGCCTCCGCTGTTCCTCTTACAGGCCTATTTCTGGGGACCCTGGAGCCGGCCTGCCGGGTCTGGGCCTGTTGTAATAACCTAGGCAGATGCCTCCACCTGTGCAGGTGTGTTTGCGCCTCTGTAAGAAGGGAAGCCCGGCAGGGCTGACTTTATAAGGTTCTCTGGAGGATTAGGACGACGCACAGTAAAGCCCCAGCACGCCACACACAGAAGTTGATCGGGGGCGTCTCCGCTTGCACCCCCATCCGTGAGCCGCTCTCCCCGTTATTTCCCAGCCTAAGCCCCTCTCTTCCGGGCCCGGGCCTCGGCCCCGCAGATCCCTGAGTCATCCTCGCGAAAATGCCGGCGTCTGAATCACCCTCCACGCTTCCGCGGGCGCCCCCTCCTGGGGGCCCCGATTCCGGGACGCGCGTCTCCCTCGGGTGTTTGGCCGCTCGTCTTGGAGAGGGGCCCCCGACCCCCCTGGAGACCGCCGAAAAGGGGGCGACCAGAAAGCCCCCCACTGGGCTTCCAGAAACGCCCCCCGCGGCGAGCGCGCGCGAGGCCGGGGGCGGGGCCGCGCCCGCGGAGCGCGTGGGGGGCGGGGCCGCCCGCGGAGGGCGCGGGCCGGGGGCGTGGCTTCGGGGGCCCCGCCCCGACGGTGCGGGCCGCGCGCGCCGCCCCCAGGGCGTCAGGCCGCGCGGGGTCAGGGCGGCGGCGCCACCCGGGCGCGGCTGAGGAGACCCGCGAGCCGGCGAATCCCGCGCGGGCGCCGCGAACAGGTGCCGCGCGCGTCAGGCGCCGGCCGGGGGCGGGGCGCGGGGCGCGGCCGGAAGCGCGGGGCGGGGCGGGGCGCCGCGGGCCGGCGAGCTGAGGCGCCGCCGCGGGAGGCAGGCAGGGGCGCCCGGGCCGCGCGGCGCGCGATGTGGAGCCGCCGCCTCGGGCCCTGCAGCAGCCGCCGCCGCCGCCGCTGCTGCTCGGGCTGCCGCCGCGCCGAGGGACATGGAGCGCGGCTGCAGAGGGCGGCCGCGGGCAGCAGCAGCAGCGAGCGTCGCAGCGACAGCGGGGCGCAGCCCGCGCCGTGAGGCGCTGCCCGGCCGGCGGCGGCAGCGGCAGCGGCAGCAGCAGCAGCGACAGGGCGGCTGAGCCCGGCGGCGGCGGCGGCGGCGGCGGCGGCGGCCTCCCCTCGCCACCCGCCCCCGCGGCCCGCGGCCCGCGCCGCGGCGCTCCGTCCGCGCGCTCGGCCTTCCCCGCCACCCTCCTCCGCGGCGCGCGCCGGCGGCTGAGCCCGGGGCGGGGGCGGGGCGGGGGCGCGTGCCGCCGCGCGGGGGAGGGGCGGGCCGGCGCGCGCCGCGCCCGGCTCGCGGGGACCCGGGGGGCGCGTGCCGCGGCGCGAGGCGAGGCGAGGCGCGGGGCGCGGGGCGGCGCGGCGGGGCCCCTCCCCCCCGCAGCCTGGCGCGCGCCGGCCGGGCCGCACCGCTGCGGGCTCGGCGCGCGCGGGCCATGTCCGCCTTCTGCCTGGGCTTGGCCGGCCGCGCTTCAGCACCCGCCGAGCCGGACAGCGCCTGCTGCATGGAGCTGCCCGCCGCGGCCGCGGACGCAGTGGGGAGTCCAGCCGCCGCCCTCGTCTCCTTCCCCGGGGGCCCCGGGGAGCTGGAACTGGCGCTAGAGGAGGAGCTGGCGCTGCTGGCGGCCGGGGAGCGGCCGTCCGACCCCGGGGAGCATCCTCAGGCCGACGCCGGGCCTCCGGTCGAGGGCGCCGGGCTGCAGCCGCCGCCCGCCCAGGAGCTCGAGCTGCTGTCGGTGATCCGGCAGAAGGAGAAGGACCTGGTGTTGGCGGCCCGGCTGGGCAAGGCGCTGCTCGAGAGGAACCAGGACATGAGCCGGCAGTACGAGCAGATGCACAAGGAGATGACAGACAAGCTGGAGGTGAGGACGCTCCTCCTGGGGTGGGTGGGGAGCCGGGGGAAACCGAGGGATCCGCCCGGCTCGGCGGCTTCGTGATCCAGGCGCCCTCACCCGCCGCCCCTTCCTTGCCCACCTGACTTCGCAGAAAACCACCTGCAACGGGGTGGGGAGCGCATCGGACGGAGGGTTTCGGATTCTCAGACCTGGATCTGGCTTGAGCCGCCGGACTTTCCCAGCCTGCTCACAGCAAATGGGTCCATGCCCAGCTCCAGCCGCTGAGCCGTTCTATATATGTACTGTACACCGCATCTAAAATAGAGCTTACAGTATGACTAATTTATACAGCATTGAGGTGAACTGAGAAATTCGGGAAGCATTTAAAATATGCTGCAGGTTTTGAGAGTAGTTAATTTCTAATCAGGGTGTTAACCTGAAGCGTTTCGGTTTCCCCATTAAGGCCTCCAGATGCCCTTGTCTTAACTTCCTGGCAGTTCAGAGTTGTGGCAAACAAGTGCCCCTAAAGAAGATTTATATAGTCCTCAAATACTCAGGGATTAGGAAATGTGTTTCCATTGCAGAAATCAGGAGCGCCTGAGGCATGTGACCGCTGGTAGTGGATTTAATTTGGACCTGAGTGTGTATTTATGTGTATTTAAACAGTACTTTTCTGTGTTCTGGGCCTCACATGTGCAATTGGATGACCAGATGCAACCTGTGAGAACCTTACTATTTTAATTACTGTTAGAAATACCCTTAAATTATCTAAAAGATTTCTGCCCGTTCTCTGGGCCAAAGTCTTCCAAGAGCAATGTCTGTTTTCTTGCTCTTAACTAGAAAAGGGTGGTGCAGAATGCCAGCATTTCTAAAAATTAGAGAGAATTTTCTTTAAAGTGGGGGCATCTATGGCAGTGAAAATGAGATTATCTTTTTCACCTGTGCATTTACTGTTGCTACCCAGTTTGGCTGCAATCAGTTCTTTTCGTTCTTAGTTATAAGAGCTTAGGCCAGCTCCCTGAATGGGGTCTGAAATTGACCCAGTCTGGTTCCATATCACTCCTACTGGTTGACTAGTCAGAATGTAGATTCAGAAGCATTTCTATAATAAGATTTAAATGGGCCTGTAGTCTAATGATATAGTGAAAGTAAATCAGGGAGAAAAAGGGAAACCAGTGAGTGCCCTGGAGTTCAGTTGGCCTGTTAACGAGGCCTGCCAGTAGATGAACTCCTGAGATACCTCTCTGAAAAGTGGTTTGTGAAATCTATAGGTCGACTGCCAAAAAAGCAACCCAATGAATTGGCTTGTTTAATTTTCACTTGAAGTAGAGGTCTTAGAAATAAAAGGGTGTCTATTTTTTAAAGAGGGATTCAGTTACATGAGTCTCTGTAAAAGTACTACTGCAAAGATTTATACTTGTGATTTGAAATTCCTTCACTGAAGGACTTGATTAAAGAGACAACTGACTTGAAAGAAACATCATATCAGTCAGTTTGATTAGTGGTAGATTTCAGAGTAACCCTGAGTGTGCAGTTACACACATCCTGGATTCCAGGTGGGACCTTTATCCATTTCTTCAACAAAGGAAAAAGATTTCAAATTTCTGCACTAACAAGAAATGGTCTACTGTCAAAGCATACATTACCTTTGACTCTTCTTTGGACTTGCTAGACAGTAATACAGTCATTTAAATCTCAAAGTTTAAAAAAATCTTCACTCTTCTGCAGGTCAGTGTGTGAACTCCAGTGTTAGAAGTTTATTTTTAATTTCTGGAAATTGGTTGCACATTAGTGTGAACATACTTAACACCACTGAATTGTACATTTAAAATTGCTTAAGATGGTAAATTTTGTGTTACATATATTTTACCACAATTTAAAGAACAACTTTTTAAGTTTATTTTTCATAAGTCAAATCAATATTGGCCTTTGTTGACCAATAAAGGGGGGATATTCAGTTATACTATTTCTTCTATGTATATTTGAAAGTAATTATTAAAAATTTTAAAGTTTTTTAATGTCTGCTTCTAGATATTATAAAGGTATTGCTACTGGTTGCTTGTAGTGTAAACTAAGAGTGATAAATCTGATTAGCGAAGGACTATTTTGATACCTGCAGATGAATTTTCCCCATGGTATTTTTTGAACAGCCTAGAGTTTAGAATGTCTGCTTAGATGTAATACTTGTAAACTTTTCCACAATTACTCAGCTATATTTTCCATAAAACATTTGATAGTAGAAAACCAGCACTTCCTTTGAAAAGCATTTGTACTTTTCCACAATCTGTTGGAGGTTTGGAGTCAAGCACTCAGAGAATGTGGTTTGACTGTTAAGTAATGAGACTGGCTTTATTTTAGTCCCACCTGCTCCCTTACTAACTTTCTAACTTTATGACTAACAAGCCATTTTCAAGATCTTTTCTACCAATTCATTGATTAATATTGACTGCCTCTCCAGTTCCATGTGCTACCCAAGATTTTGTTCCTGTTATTTAAAACGTAATTACTCTTATACTCCTTTCTCAAGTAAGGTACATTCTTTAAAGTCTTGAGTGGTATAAGGACTAACAACATAAAAGTTTCTTAGCTATACATCTCAGAGTTAAAAGGAAGATTCAATTTAATTTGAAAAACAAGGTTTCGAATGTTTTTCCACCTTTAAATTGGCTATCCTGTATCTTATTCACTAAGTCAGATTTTCGTATGCTTAAAGTATTGAAAGCATTTTGTGAAATTTGTTTTGCATCTAAAATTAGCTCTTTTAAGTGAGTGTCTTAGTTTTTTCCTCCAGAATATGAACTGAGACAGTAACTTCCAATCTACACACTTTTTCTTCAGAGGTTAAATATTTATTTTTTTAAAAGATTGCTTTTTACATACAGGATCCCTCTTTTTGCATTTCATCTGAGGATGACTTAATTATCTCTCACTGCAGAGATAATTATATTTTCTTCTCCCCTTCCTTAGACCGATTCTCATAATTCTAGAACTATTTTTTAAGGGGGCCAAATAAGTATAATGAAAATGATTTGGTAATGGGAGTCACTAGATTCAGAGATGCCAACCCAGGGTTCCTTATTTGCATTCAGTGCCGTGTCCACTAAAAAAATAGTTCTTTTTCTTTGTCTTTTTCAAGAACCATGTCCTGAGCTAATGAAATGATGTTGCTTTTTTGATTATTTGCAGAAATCCATTTCTGTAGCAACTGTTTTCCAGTAGCCTCATGGTATTGTTTGTTCAGAGTTTTAGATGAACTTTTTTTATAATAGGGTTTAGAATCCCAAAAAAATTGGATGGTATGATTTCCATCTATCCAGCCCTCAGTACATCTTATATTCGAATCGTACACTTGCCATAATTGAAAAGCCAACATTGATACATTATTATTAATAAAATCCTTAGTTTATTTTGATTTTCTTAGCTTTTACCTGATGGTCAGTGTCAGCAGCCCATCCTGAATACCATATTATTTTTTTTCCTTTCTCCTTAATCTCCTCTTTGCTATGACAGTTTCTTAGACTTCTGTTGTATTTGATGACCTTGACAGTTTTGATATTAACTTTTAAAATACCACAAAGCCCTAAGAAACAGGGATATCAAGGGCAGAGCCTAAACACCACACTTATAACATTCTGCCTGAGTTTACTGGCTAATTCAGCACTCATCTGCAAGTATAACTGTAGGGGAAACCTTTCTTTTCTAAAATTGATTCAAAGGCTAAATTATTTATGTTCATTAATAGGAAAGTCTTGATTTTTAACAAAGGGCTGGGAGACCTGAATTGGAAGTTTGTCACATGTCCAAAGAAATATGAGGACAGACTAGACCAATCAGCACCACCTGTCCCAGCCTCCTCCCCCAAAGTGGATTGGATTATTTGAGTTGCTTGGTTGGACTGTTCACTAACAGCTGTTTGCTGAATATTTTTAAGTCTCTCTGTTCTTTTAGAACACAAGCCTAATTTATCTGGCCTCTCAGCAACACTGTGATTACTGAGTTCTTGCTGTTGCCTTCTGCTCAATCTTTTTCATTTTGGAAAAACTCAATAAAACCAAATATCACAATTTTAGAATTGCAATTAGCATTTGTTTTCTGCATTCCATCTTTGAAGTATCTGCAGTGACTAAAACATTGTCATTTTTTTTTTTTTGAAGTTTAGCAATTTGAGGGGAAAAGAGCAAAACAATTCTCATGCTGACGACAAGTCCCTCCTTTTGATTCCTTTTCCCATGTGCTCCAGACTGAGGCTGCATAAAATATAATGTGACTTTTTCAACAAATGTCCTAGGGTGGCTATTTCCAAATGAGTTATCCCCCTAAAGTAGTCAACTTGGGAAGCCATACATTTATTTTAATGAAATCTGCCTTTGCTATTGTGCTCCGATTTTTAATTTTGGATGATGTTTTTATCTGTTGGCACATTCTTTTGACTGCTCTGTCATGGTAAATTTCCATCTCTTGGGGTTAAATTTGACTTTTAGAAACAAGTCATTCGGAACAAAGTTGGGGGAATAAGATGGTAAGATCAAATGGAATAGTCAGTCTCTTTTTTTGACACACCCCAAATGTGAAGTAATAGGACTAATTTTTTTGGTATGACTCTTAAGATAGCCCCTAAGGTTTTCCCATAGAAGCATTCCAAAAAAATATTGTGAAGAACTTGCACAAAATAAGAGTGTAGATTCCCAGAGCGAAGAGGTGACTGAGTACTCTGAAGAAGATTCCTGTGTGCATGTTGAAACAACCTCAGTGCTTAACTTCAGCTTTCAGTGCATCAGATTTTCCCATAGGACCAAGGTAGGCAGGTAGGTAGACAGACAGACAGACTGACAGATGCATGCCTAGTTCTAATCCCGTTCTCAACTGAATCATAATCTTTGGTATTAGGATCCAGGTGGGTGTGTTTTGAATAATTATACCAGCACTTTTCTGACAGCACCAGAAACTGAAGACCATTACTTTAACTTTTATTTAACTACTCCTTGAGATACAGACCTGGCATTTTTGTACATACTGTGCTTTTAAAGTAGGAGCCCATACTTGCCTCTGAAAAGATGCATCAGTATTTTTCACATAGAAACAAAAAGATGTTCTTATTTTCTTCAACGCAACAGAATCCTTTTCTATTGAACTGTTACTTCAAGCCATCTGTACTTCTGCATACCATTTGTCACACACAACTTAACTAATTTTATCAGCAATTTGCTCTTCTACTAGAGTGAAAGCTCTGTAAAGTCGAGACCTTGTCTTATTTGCTCTTCACTTAATCCCCAGCAGGTGACTGGTCCTTTTAAGGCACTCAAGAATGAGTGAATTCACTAGAAATAAATATGCCAGACTAATAGGCCATGATTTGAACCAGAACTTGCCTCTGGCAACAAATATTGAGTTGTGATCTACAGCATTAAGCAGTCAGTTGACTTAGATACAACTTTCCTAGTGTATTCTGCCATTTACTAGTATTGACCTTGAGATGGTTATTTAACCTTTTATTTTCTATTATCTCATTTGTAAGAAAGGCTGGTCAGTCTGAAGGCCCTTGGAGCTTTCTGGATCTCTGAAAATTTTGGATTCTAAATGTCTAGGATCATGCCAGGCATAATAAGATGATTCTAAAAGCTCCCTTGTTAAGGACTCATTGAAGTTGTACATTTTAAATGTATAGTTCACCAATTAATTAGATGACTTGCTAGATTTCAAACAAGTTCCTAAGTCGAGAACCCCCAGCTCAATAGTGAACAATAGCATTATGTATTTTCAGTAGGAATGTAGGAATGGAATTGTGTTTGTGAAACTAAGGCATGCCCTTCTCTAAAACAGGAGAATATTTTTGTAACTGTGAAATGGGCAACATTTTCCTACTGGCAAGTGTTTTGTTGTGCTGACTGACTGGGAAAGGAAAAGTTAGAAGATGAGAAAAGAAAAAAGTGAAAACCTGCAATTTTTTTTTTAATAATAAATTTTATTTTTATATTCCCCATACAATTGCAGCCCCCCCATTCTGACCCCAATCTCTCCCCTCCCACCCCCGGCCCCTTAAAAGTGTCTCTGGTTCGTAGTTTTTTGTTGATTTTGATTTTCACTTTCTTATAGTTATTTGTTTTCCTGGTCCCTTATTTAAGTTTTCTAGATTCCTGCTATGAGTGAGACCATCCGGTATTTTTCTTTTTCTTTTTGGCTTATTTCGCTGAGCATGATCCCTTCCAGTGCCATCCATGTTGCTGCAAATTGCATGTGTTTATCTTTTTTGAATGCTGAGTAATATTCCATGGTATATATGTACCACATCTTCTTGATCCAGTCATCTATTTTTGGGCATTTGGGCTGTTTCCAAAGCTTAGCTATTGTAAACAGTGCTGCTATCAACATAGGGGTGCAGGTGTTCTTTGGAATTGATGTTTCTGTGTCCTTTGGGTAAATACCTAGGAGTGGAATTGCTGGATCATATGGAAGCTCTATGTTTAGTAGGTCCAGAAATCTCCACACAGCTCACCACAGTGGTTGGACCAGTTTGCACTCCCACCAACAGTGCAGAAGAGTTCCTTTTTCTCCACACCCTCGCCAACATTTGTTGTTGCTAGTTTTTTTAATATGTGCCATTCTCACTGGTGTAAGATGGTATCTCATGGTAGTTTTGATTTGCATTTCCCTGATGACAAGTGATGCTGAACATTTTTTCATATGCCTGTTGGCCATTTGCATTTCCTCTTCAGAGAAGTTTCTTTTTAGCTCTTCTGCCCATTTTTTGACTGGATTATTTTCTTTGTTGTTGTTGAGTCTCATCAGCTCTTTGCAGATTTTTGTGATCAGTCCTTTATCATTAGTGTTGGGTGCAAAAATGTTCTCCCAGTTGGTGGGGTTTCTCTTTGTTTTTGTTATTGTCTCTTTTGCTGTGCAGAAGCTCTTTAATTTGATGTAGTCCCAGCTGTTTATCTTTGCCTTCACTATCACTGCTTTGGGTGATGTGTCTGTAAAGATGTCTTTGATGTGCAAATCACATAGTGTTTCGCCTATATTTCCTTCTATATATTTTATGGTTTCAGGTCTTATGTCTAGTTCTTTAATCCATTTTGAGTTGATTTTTGTGTATGGTGTGAGGTAGTGGTCAAGCTTCATTCTTTTGCATGTAGCGACCCAGTTTTCCCAGCACCATTTATTGAACAAACTTTCTTTGCTCCAATGCATAGTCTTTGCTCCTTTGTCAAAGATTAGTTGACCATAAATCTGTGGGTTTATTTCTGGATTTTCTATTCGATTCCATTGGTCTGTATGTCTGTTCTTGTTCCAATACCATGCAGTTTTGATGATTATGGCTTTGTAGTATAGTTTGAAGTCTGGGAGTGTGATGCCTCCATTCCCTTCTTTTTTTTTTTCAGGAGAGCTTTGGCTATTCGGGGTTTTTTGTGATTCCATATGAATTTCATCAATAATTGTTCTATTTCTTTGAAGAATGACATTGAAATTTTGATTGGAATAGCATTGAATCTGTATATTGCTTTTGGGAGGATGGCCATTTTAATAATGTTTATTCTTCCAATCCATGAGCAGAAAACCTGCAATTTTTAATAGTTTTTAAATACTCTTTTTTTTTTTTAAAGATTTATTTATTTATTTATTTATACAAGCACTGGGTACAGTCAGAAGCGAGGGAGGGTGAGAGAATTCACCAGAGCCAGAGGGGAGAGCAGAGCAGAGCAGGCAGACTGACGAAGTACACTGCTGAGGGGAGCAGCGGGTGGCAGGAGAGGTCTGCGCGATTGAACCGGCGCTGCAGAGGCTGCGGGCAGCTTCACAACCCAGCGCTCAACCGCTATACCATTGGGGAGGCCCTAAATCCTCTTCATTTTTTACCCAGCACTTAGAGCAAGAGAAACACGAACTACGAAGAAGATTTGAGAACCGAGAAGGGGAGTGGGAAGGGCGCGTGTCAGAACTGGAGAGCGACGTGAAACAGCTTCAGGGTGAGCTGGAGAGACAGCAGGTTCATCTACGGGAAGCAGACCGAGAAAAGACGCGGGCTGTCCAAGAATTATCAGAACAGAACCAAAGGTTATTGGACCAGCTCAGCAGGGTGAGTCACAAGTTAAGAATTTATGATCTAAAATCCTCAGAGTTGAAACAGAGCTTCTGTGTGATGTCATGCGTGGTAAGATTAGTTCTGATTTTTGTTGCATGTGATTTTGATAGCAACGAGTTCAATATTTTCCACCTACAAGAACTACTGCTGTGCCAAACTGGGAGTCAGGAGTGAGGCCCTTGCCTGTCATTAACCAGCAATATGAGACTTTGACAACCACTTAACTTGAGAGTTTTCTCATTTTTTTAAGTGAAAGAGTTGTGCTTAATCATTTCTGACATTCCTTATAGTTCTGAAACTCTATGATCCCTTTACCTAGAGAAAAGCTGTCACTGGTAAAATTATGTTAACGCACCTACCTAGTTCAAATATTAAATGGTGCTATCTTTAAACCGAAAAGCTTAGGGAAATTTTCTAGAGCAAATGATTTTCATTGGTGTTACATTTATGAATATACATTCTGTCATTTTATTTAATTGTGAAGGGAGGTATGTGTAACTGAGTTTAAAATTTGATTTATATCCTCATTAAGTAAAAATTCTTTTCTTGTACCTTTTTTGGGTGGTATTGTGGACATATTAATTATTTAACCAAGGTCAAGACTGTAAAATCTTTGCAGAGAAAGAGTTGGAAATCTAATTCAAATATAGAGCCTACCTTTTTTAACAACTGCGGGAATGTTATTAATACCCAATCTCTAAACCCACCTACTTTTGAAAATGACTGCATTTACTATTGTGCTCCAATCCTTCTTACATGTTGAAAATAAAACTAGTAAACTCTTCAGTTTCGAGAGACTAGAAGACTTCTACAACCTGACTCTGGTCTCCTTGCTAAGCACTAATGTTCTTAGGAGAGCCCTGCCCTTGTGGAAGGGGTCAGAGCTGGTGCTCAGGTCCCTGGGAAATGCTTAGCTGGAGTGGCACATGGTAAATTCCTGGGGCTTCTGCTGATTCAGTGAGTGACATTGTATGAAGTGACCTTGCTAGTTAGTGTCATGGTTGCTCCTCATGGATACTCAGGCTGGGGAAAGCCTTTTCAGGCCTGGCAAGGAAGTAGGAAGTAAATCTGACCATTAGAGAAGTGGGTGTAATGAGATGGAAACGAGGGAGGGGGAGAGATAGACAGAGAGGAAGAAGTGATGACTGATAACCTGGAAGGTAGCTGGTTGCAGGAGATAACAGAATATCCCTGAAAGGTAAGAATTAAGTTGATAGGTAAAGCGAAAGACCTTACCTGCAGGATGCCCACCCAGGGACTCATATCCCCTTTGATTTTCTGGAAAGAAGGAGTTGGGCAGTTCCCCAAGAAGTCATTTCACAGGACCGTGTCAGGAACAGCATTTCTTACTCGGTTTTGAAACCTTTCCAGAAGCTGGGGAGGAAATTATTATCTTTGTAAGATTTTATAAGTATTTGAGTCTTTTTGTTTGTTATTCGTAAAAGACTAAGCAAACCAAATAGGGCTGATCGGATTGATTTCATTTGTTCACAAACATTTATTTAATACTCATTCTGAGCGAGGGTTTCTTACAGAGACTTATGAAATGAATACAACTAATCAGAGCAATTAAAGGGGAAATTATTTCTTGAGGGCTTTATGTTACAAAACAAAGCAAGTATCAGACAGCTAGGCTTTCTGAGCTGGTGAATATAGGTGGCCAGGAGCAACGAAAGGACAGAACAGAACTTAACAAGTCACAGCCAAAGAACCCAGGACTTAGATTTAGATCTGTGTTGAGTTTTGACTTGGCTTCTCCTTGGCTTCTCCTTAACTGGGTGACCTTGTTATAAAATAGGGGTAAAAAATTTGTATCTCACACAAATACTGTTGGAATGAAAATGAGATAAGGCAGTGTATGAAGGTCGAGATTTGTTTCAGTGTTGATGAAACAAACTTTTATTAAAGCATTGTCTTTACAGTTGAGGTTCCTTTGCCTAATTTTTCTGTAGAATATGCTGATAAGCTGTTTCCTGAAAAATACAGGAGGATATTTCCACTAGATCTAGATCCTTGGTATCCTCTCTGGCTTTGAATGTAGGCCTTTGCTAAGTTTTGTGACTTTTTTTTACTTTCTCTTTTTTAAGCAGGACAAGCCCCTGGGGTTTCTAGCACCAGCCAGTTTAGATTGTATTTTATTATCATTTTATTAACTGGGTACTCAGAAAGTAGAGGAGTGGAGTACTTTGAAGTGAATTAAAATTCTCCTAGGACAAGATCACAACCAGCAGAGATAGTGGAAGGCCAGGCCTTTCTTGCAGTGTATATAATGTGTTTTTATGAGCATGGCATGTGTAAGATGAAAAATAATAGCCCACTATTTCTGTGATGCTTTCCTCCAAGATAGTTAAAAATCCTTTTCCTTGGTTTCCATGGTTGTCAACATTCTTTTTCTTTTTTAAAATGACAGCTTTATTGAAATATAATTTACATAGGCTGCCATTTACATTTTTTAAAGTATACAGTTCAGTGGTTTTTTCATATAGTCACAGAGTGGTCCCACCATCAGCACTGTGTAATACAGAGCATTTCACATCCCATAGGAAGCCCTGTACCGCTCTTCTGACCCCTCTTAACTACCAGACTGCTCTATCTCTTATGGATTTGCCTATTCTGGATGTTTCATAGAAATGGAAACATTATGTATGTGTGACCTTTCAGGACTGACTTCTTCCTTCCCCTTAGCATGTCTTCAGAATACATCATGTTGTAGCATTTATCAGTACCTCCTTCATTTTTATGACTGAGAATGGTCTGTTGTATGGTTGTTTTGTTTATACATTCGCTAGCTAATGGACATTTGAGTTGTTTCTCCCTTTGGCTTTGTGAGTAAGGCTGCTATAAACATCCGTGCACACGTTTTCGGGTGGCCCAGGTTCTTCTCAGCTCTAAAATAAGATGCTGTGAACAGATGTATCCCAAGAGCTTCTGGATCCTCATTATGATGAAGGAAGAGATAGATATTGTTCTAATTCTGTAGCTGAGAAAACTTAAGGGACAAAAAGATTCGTGACTTGATTAAGGATATTCCAATTCAAGACTGATTAAGAGTGCCTATGCCTTAATTTCAAATTTCTGAGGCAGCAATTAAAATCATAGTCTGTAGAGCCAGACAGCCCTGGGATCAGACACCAACTCTGCTACTTACTAGCCAGATGAATGTTATTTTACCTTTCTTTTAAAAATCCTTTCACCTTTTTAAAACTAGTTTCCTCCTCTGTGTAATGGGAACAGTTGAGTTGCTATTACCTGTTAGTGTTGAGTACTGGATGGGATAATGCATTTAAAGATCATGTATGTAAAGCTCTAACCACAATGTCTAGCATGTTACAAATGCTGACCCCATAGGAAATCCTGTTATAATGCAGCCAGCATAATTATCCTGTCTTCATCATGTAGATGAAATTTTCACATCTTGTCACATGTTGGTTCTCTAACTTGATAGCAGAAGAATGTGAAGTGTCCCCAGTACATCCCTTTTACATCCATGTAAAATTGTCTTGTTTAGTAGTTACATTTCTATTAGATTTATATAAAATTGACCCTCCTAGAAATTGAGTCAAGTTTGTTCCATGGCACCTAGATGCTCTTGGACTCTGCTGTATCCAGTCTGGACATCCCTTTATTCCAGTTTATTTGCTCATGTGGACAAAATGTCCTCTAAATTCTCTTCTAGTTTCTAAGATTCTGTGGGTCTCATTTTTGTGAAACTCAGGTCGACATGTTTGCAGAAAGTGTAATTCATTTTCTAAATTAAAAAGTAACACCACGATGGCGTTGGCAGTGGGGTTTAATAGGACACATTAGTCACTTATCCTAACTCTATAAAAAGTGCAAAGAATACAAAGGGGTTTGCCTTCAGAAAGAAAAGAGGAGTGACGTGGACCTTGCTTGTTGCTTCAGGAGAGTATTTCCATATCAGTCTACAAGTGAGGTTGTGTGAGAACCTTTCTGATATAGACCTTTTCTCTGGTATTACAGCAGAGTCCCCCAGATGATTTTCTCCCCAGCAGCAGCAAAGATATCAGAGTTTTGATCAATATTAAAGAGTCCTCAAATGATCATTCACTAATATTAACAGTATAGCTAGATACTGCAGAGTCCTTGCAGTCTGCGTGTAGAGCAGCAGGCCAAAGCAGTAATTTGATCAAACCAGTTTTGTTCAAAATAATAGTAAGTTTCCTACTTAGCCTTTTAGTCTTCAGAAGCAGTAGAAATAAGATAGTATTTTCAAAATGAGTCTCAGTAATATTAGAAACTACAGTGACAGTTCAAAGAAGGCATCTTCACTTTGTGCTAATAAAACATTGTTCACACATTAGACTTGAGTATCTGCTGACCAAAGAACGGGGAGAACCAACTAATTTTTTCTTTAAAAATGAGATAGAGGGCCTCCCTGGTGGCGCAAGGGGTTAAGCACCACACTATGAAGCAATCCGCAGCCTCTGTAGCACGAGTTCGATCCCTGGCTGGCCAGGGAGCAACCCACATGGCGAGGCAGACCTCTCCTGACTTGCCCGCTGCTCCCTTCAGCAGTGTATTTCAGTCAGTCTGCCTGTCTGTTCCCCACTCTGTCTCTGGTGAATGCTCTCACCCCCCACATCTCTGGCCTGTACCCTTGCTCTTACATGCATAAATAAATCTTTAAAAAGTAATAAATAAAAATGAGATAGAAAATTGCTTAGGAATTTCTAAGACTGTCCCCAAAATACATAGCCCTAGAGTTTTTACAAATTGACTAGGAAATTTTCTTATACTTTCCCTTGCAGTTTTATACATTATAGATTGGCCACACCTTCCCCCTCCTTCTCTCTCTCTCTCCCTGCGATAGCAGGACACTGAGCTTGTTTCCCATCCTGTTGGATTCACTGGAGGTCAGGGCTGTAGTTAAGGTCTGACTGTGTATGCATTGTTGCTCTGTTTTAAAAGTCATGAGATAGTTCAAGGACACAGAAAACCACAGAGAGTACTATAAATCCAGCTTTGTAAAACCT